GTTCTTGTTCTTGTTCTTGTTCTTGTTCTTGTTCTTGTTCTTGTTCTTGTTCTTGTTCTTGTTCTTGTTTTTGTTCTTGTTCTCGTTCTCGTTCTTGTTCCTGGTTGGTCGTTCTTGTTCTTGTTCTTGTTCTTGTTCCTGGTTGGTCCCAGGTATGTTGTGTTGTAAATATATATGGAGCTGTTGGAATGTTGAATGTGTTTTGCTTCAGTTTGGTTCAACTCATCATACATATGAAAGTGTAGTATGAACCACCTGCATGATACAAGATGGCTGCCATGACTGAATGGGATTTCTGAAAATTAGTTTGTAGGAAACGCTCTTTTTCTTTATACTTCTACTTCCCTTCTCTTCACCTGCAACACTGTTGGTCGTACTGATATGTTTCCACTGTTCACCAACTGGGAAACAAAAACAGGTCAGTGAACAAACAAAGAAAATCCACTGTTTCATGGTCTCAGCTGAACAGGGAAGAGCAACACTGTGGCTGAATGCACACGTTGTTGTTGATTATGTAATAACAAGGATTATGTTGGATTTCTCTCTGTTGTGTGTATAATGAAGTACTAGAAATGTGTGTGTGTGCGTGTGTGTGTGTGTGTGTGTGTGTGTGTGTGTGTGTGGTCGTCCCCATAGGCCATTAGGTGTTAATTCCACTTTGTCTGAGCCGCTGTATTCAGGCTTTAATGAATAAATAATTACAAAGGCAAATGTCTCTGCTGATACGTTGTTGCCATGGTAACAGAGCTAAATAATGATGCCCTGCCTCAGTATCTCTGAGGGCGTGGAAGTGTGAGCGTCTACATGGAGCAAAGTAATGCACAGTATGATGGGGTTATTATTTATGTCCCAAACTTCATCACCGTCATCAGTCAGTGTTTTCAGCTGTTTAGACCATAAATGTTTACTGTATGTAATATTTATTATAAATTTGATTGCACTTCCCATATGCACGTTTACATGGATGACAGTGTCATTAGTTTCTATATGCAAAAAATCACTATCATATAAAAAGTCATTAGTTTCTATATGCAAAAAATCATTATCATATAAAAAATATAAATATATGTGTATATATAGGGCTGCCAAATGATGAAAATATTTCTCAATCTAAAGCTCTTATCTAAAATAATGTAGTTCCTGTCAATTGATTTGGAAATCGTGTCAGTTTGTGTCAGCTGTGGACCTAAAATTGGTATTTTTAAGCTTGAGGTTCTTTGGTGAAACAAAAACGCACTGAGAAGTGGACAGAGTTGTTAAACATATTCTGATGTGATTCATTTCGCAATTTAATTTCCCTGGTAAATTTTGACAGTCCATATATATAATTATATGTGTGTAAAAAAATAAATAAATAATCAGCACCACAGAACTAATAGACCATATCAATCAATGTCACTTTTGCTTTATTTCAGCTGCGATTCTTTATAATTATCAGACCATTTATTATTCATACCTCGTTAATATTAAATGTCTTTGTTCTGCTTAGAAATAAAATATTAAACAGCAATTACTTTAAAAAGGAATCTTGGATCTAAAACAAAAAAATCCAAACTTATAGAGTCATAATCAGACACAAAACTCTGACGACATGTTTGACTGGGTTACACTTGCTCAACAGGAGTTTTACTTTCATTACAAATCAAAAAAAAGAGAAATAAAGCCATAAATTAGAACAGAGACGAAGGTGGAAGTTGGAATTGGAATAACATTGACAGTTTGAGAAAAGACTGCATTTAAAAAATATATATAAATAAAAGAAAAAGAGTATACGTAATTAGAATGCCAAACACATACAACAGAGAAACAGAAAGAACACGTCTGAGAGGCAAAGTAATACAAGCACTGCCACAGGAGCAGGATTGGAATAGATTAGATTTTATTGATCTAACACTGAGCACATTCACCTGTTACCTCAGAGAAAAGTCCAAAACTGGTGTGTGTGTGTGTGTGTTTGTATTTCTATACTTGTGGGGACAGGTTAATGAAAATGTACTGTTCTACATTTGTTCGTACGAGGACATTTTGCAAGTTAAAATTTGTGTGAAGTATGGATTCAAATTTAAGTGAGATTAAAGTTTAGATAACGATTTAGAATAGTTATGGCGCTGCGGAAGTTTGATCAGAAATACAAAAGTGCAACTTAGAGTTTTTTCTTGGTGTTTGTTTTCTTTTTGTGGAGGAAATGTGTCAAATAATACATGCAAGTGCAATGGTTCAGTTTGCTTATACGACATACGACGATACAGTTATACATTATAGAATGGAAAGTTTCTTTCCCTTTAAACGTTCATATGTCAACGTGTCATTTATTTTAATTAAAACACAAGCGACAGTCCTTTTCAAAAACAAATTGTTTTTTCCCCGATCGTCTTTCACAGTGGACCTCAAATGAATTATTAATCGTAACCTACACTGAACCTTGACCCACTCAGTTCGGACTTTTGCTCTCACCTAGCGTCGGCTTCCGTCCTCCGTGAAAGGTTAAGCGCCGTTGTTAATAGGATGAAATGATACGTTTGGTTTTAACGTTTCCAGGCATTTAAAAAATATTCATACTGGTAATATAGAAACAGAGGGTAGTAAAAGTCATCCAGTGACATTTTCAAAGGTGAGGTATTCCTGAGCAGCCATTGAATACTCACCACTAACAGCTAGGAAGTGATTGTTCCTTGACCTTTTGTTGTACGGCTCAGTCTGCAGCAGGATCCGCTCCGAGGCGGCAGCACTCCATCTGAAACACTGTTAATCATAAACCAAGTCCTGGAGAGTCTCATGAATGTACACAATGCTTTTTCTTATGTAAAGAGTTACTTTGTTTTTAAGACAACAAGCAACGTTGGTAAAACGCTAACAGCAGTTTAGTCCATACCAAGAGAAAAAAGCACTTTGGTTTTGTCACAGCAGTGGTCCGAACGCTGAATGAGTTTTTGCACCAAATGCCCCTCTGAGGTCAACCACAACAGTGATGGGGGATTAGAAGGAATACAACCCTCAACCATTTTTCAGGTCAAGAAGTAATTTCACCACTGCCTCACTCAAGGCTTGGTTATTGCTGCTCCATTTTTTTTACAGTGATGTAGACACACATGGTGTGTAATGAAAACCTACATGACAAGTCATTTTTGAGGGGTTCACTATAAATAGTAACAGCATCATTTTCACCGCAGGCACGGGGGGGAAAGTGGAGCAATCTGTGCCAGAAGAATAAGATGAGCTTCAGTATAGAAATGATGAGTCAATCTACAGTCATGTTAGCGGAGTTCATTACACATCTGAAATCACAACGATGAGACTGCATTGGTTGCCCTTTGACCCTTTTATGAAAGAGAATCATTTCCCTGCAGGGATCAATAACAACATTATGGTTGCGGTTTTTTTTTTTTCCCTAGGTTTAAACCTATCTGCTGGTTTATTATCCCCACTCCCGCCCTCTGGGGAACAAACTCACATCCACAGCATTTTTTATGAAAGGCATAAAATTCACATCCCTGTCAAGTAGGTTATTACAGAACTTCACAGTGTTTTTGATCAATGTTTAGAGCAGCGAGATAATGGTGCCTGGGCTGCAGCTCCCATCTTTACTGGCGACACCCACATACTATATTGTATCCACTGGCAACTGTGTCGGACGCATTAGAGAAAAAACATCCACCAAATGGAATAATAGATCAACTTTTCAAAGGTTTTTCGTTTTTCCACTTTCTTTGATCTGGCTCAAGTCTGACTATTTGTGCTGTTTTTGGTGCATTGTGGGTAAATGTGTGTCTGTGTGCAGCCATATTTTTGCACTCTTGTAAATACAATATAAAAAAAGAGGTCATTTGTATAAATGTGTCGTGTTTCTGACAGAACCATTAGGTACAAAAACACATTCCAGCCTTTGGTGGTTGCGGAAACAAATCAATATGCATTATTTAAAAATCTTTTTTTTTTTTAGTTTTTTTCTTTACAACAAAGTAACAGTTGGATTTGTGCTGCTAATACGGCACATGAAACTAGAACAATCAACAACGGATGGACGTTGGAAAACTGTTCCATAATTTCAACTGTCATATAAAGACAAAAAAAAGTTGTTTTTTTTTTGTCTTTATATGACAGTGTTTTGGGTTGTTTTTTGGTAGATTTGCTGATATCTGTTTTACCCTTGTCAGTCTGTTATTGTATAAATGACTCGTTGGCTCATAAACTAGAAATATCTTTTGTCTCTGATCCCATTTTGTGTTTTTCTTCTCTGTACCTCTTTACAGCAGTGTTATAATTATAACATAATTATAATAATCAAAGCACTCTTCTTGTCTCAAGTGTCATGGTTCATGTTTTTCCTGTCACACTTACTGGTCTTCGTCATCATGTAGCATCAACAGATGCAGGTTGTTTTTGTTTCTCCAGCTCTCGCTGCATGGTGTCTGTCATTAGCCTCAGTGCTTGATGGGCAACAGTATTTCCATAAGATTAGAGGAGTAGTATTCACACACTGCTTACACTGTTGCTCGTTATATTATAAGGTATTTAACTGACATGTTTATTTTTGGTCAACATAATGGTTTTATTCACGTTTATCACAATCTGTTGATCTGTTTGTGGACGTACAGATTTTCCTTGACGTCAACATTGTTTGTCAGTCAAATTCCCAATGTGTCACTTCTTCATTATTTTCTCTCTTTCTCTTTTTTTTTTCTCTAATATTCTCTTCTGTTGTCTTTGTCTCTAATGTATCCAGGCATTGAGTGTATTGTGGTTTTACCTGAACCAAGGAGTCACTGGGATCCTGTGTTTGGTACCTGTGTCTTCCTCTTCTCCTTCCTCATCCCTGTGGCCATTATCAGCATCTGCTACAGTTTGATGGTCAAGCGCCTACGCAGTGTCCGCATCCTGTCCGGTTCCAAGGAGAAAGACCGCAACCTGCGACGTATCACCAGGATGGTCCTCGTGGTGGTGGCAGTTTTTGTCGTCTGTTGGACGCCCATCCAGATAATGGTTCTGGCTGAGTCTCTGGGCTTCAACCTGAGCAGCGTGTTCACGCTGGTGCTGATGCACTTCTGCATCGCCTTGGGCTACGTCAACAGCAGCCTGAATCCTGTTCTCTACGCGTTCCTGGATGAGAACTTCAAGCGCTGCTTCAGGGAGTTCTGCCACCCCTCGCCGTTTCATCTGGACACGCAGCAGTCCGGCAGGATGAGGAGCATTGCCAGGGAGGTGGCCGCGGCCTACAGCTGCAAGGCTGGAGATGGTGTTGGGCCTGGTGGAGGGACACCTAATCCAGCATGACTAGGCGTGGAGCTTCCCTTGATGGGGGTTGACCCCCCACAGAGAGGGGAAAACCAGGCGACGGGGAACTCCAACACAGAATTAACACAGATTACAGCGCTCTAGCAACACGAGCCCTCCCGCCCCCCAACTAGAAGACTTGCCTGGGGCGGGGGGGAGGAAGATGAAGAAGATGGGTCTGAGAGGAAAAGAATCTAGGATTTAGGAATGGGTCTGAGAGGAAAAGAATCTAGGAACAGGCGTCAGATGGACTTTAGGCTGGTCATATATAAAAAGACTATATTATGGTAAATGTATGATTTTAAAGGCTCGATGGTATGAGGTTTGACTTGATGATACAAGGCGTAGCTTAATCAAACCTGGATCGTGGGTTCTAGAACAGGTGAGGCCTTTAAATCCATGTAGGAAGTGATCGGGACTGAGCTACAGATTGGAGATTTATATATTGATTCAAATGTGAAAAAAAAAACAAAAGAATTGAAGGCATTTGCAGCAGCTCCAAAAATCTTTTTTTTGATGTCAGCTGCTCCAAGTTCAGAAGAACATCCTGTTGATGCCTGGTCAGCAGACAGTTCTTAGTCTGTGAGGGAACTTCAAATGGAAATAGAAGAAGGAGTTGCTGAAACCAAATCTCTAACCACCATTCGTCGTGCAGGTGCCTGAGGAAAGACTACGAAGAGTTTGCTTGTGTTGTCTTTGTAATCACAAGTGTGACAAAGGTTTATTGTTTTGAGAAATTTGTCTGAAAGACTCTCTAACAGAGCGGGGAATCGAACCTCTACACTACTACAGTATGTGTTACATATTTGAGTGGACTCTTCTAAAAGAGTTTTAAAAAAAATGTATTTGCTGCTGAGCCTATTAAGAACTAACGTAGGTACACAACAGTGTGATGTGATATTTCAAACTGTGGAGGGTTGGTTATACATTTCAAAAAAGTTTTTTCTTTGAATGTCTCTTCAACTGAACCTGGTCGTAGGAATGATTTTTTTTTTTTTTTATATCTGTACAAGTTGACGTAAAAATCGTAATACACAAAATCCCTTTTGTGATTTCAGTGTTCAGACGTTTGTGTAGTGTAGGTGGGTGGCAAGGGTCAGAGTTTGTAACCAAAAAATTTAAAAACTAAAAAAACAAGGGATGTGGAAGATGAACAAGGGAATTACCTTCATTTGTTTGTGGCTTAAACTTCAAAAGTTTACCTTAAACAAACCTTAGAGTAAACTTCACCTGGTAAACAGTGCAACCGTGGAACAGGCCTTTTCAAATGATCGCTTTAAGCACTTGGGCAACATGAGATGCCTTACAAATCTGAAGGTCGAGAATTGTCGAGAACTTTCAGTGTTTCAAGACGACTGTAGGAACAAACAGTATACACACAACAGAGCTGCATTTTGTACTGCTGAAGAAAATATCACATGTACTGCAACCTTCCGAGTCATTTTTAGTGGTTTTCACTTCCCAGTGACTCAGCTGAGAACAGGACAAAACAAAGATCTTGGATGACTTTAAGGCCTGGGGTGCAGCGTCCTGCTGGTCCTCTTACATCCAAACAGACCGTGTGTGTTGGTGCTGACAGGGAACCAGCCACAGGGCCATGCTCACTGTTGTTTCTTGACACAATTAGAGTTCCAAGTGATTGAGATAAATGTATCTCCATCTGCATTCAGTTGTTAGGACCACTTAATAAAAGGACCTAAAAGTTTACCCGTCTCATTTAGAGGGTAATGTAACTTCGTTCCGGCAGCTACAGAGAGTAGATGCTCTGTGTTGTTAGCTGCAGTGAAATAGCTGTTTAAAAAAAACAAAACTATTTTTTTCCGACACTGAGGCAGCAGTGTGTTAGACAAAACTTAATAAAAGGACCTAAAAGTTTACCAGTCTCATTTAGATGATGATTTTTTTTCCGACACTGAGGCAGCAGTGTGTTAGACAAACGTGGTACGGGGGCTCCTCGGTGTACGCGTTTCGTGGTTGCGTGACTATCTCCTATGTATCTCCTTGTTACATCATTCTGACAGACGGTGACGTGGTACGGGGGCTCCTCGGTGTACGTGTCCTCAACCTTTGGTGTTTAGTAGGTGAGCAAATGAATATGTTGTCTATAAATTCGCAAGATTGTGCAACATTCTGTCTTTCATTTGTGTGGTTTGTCCTAGATCATGATGTTACCACTGTGTTAGCATAGATGAGTGTTAGTTCCGACCTACGTCGAAAATTAAGTCACGTAGCACCATGGGAACGGAAGTCCGAGGACACCCTATCAAAACCAAAGAAGCCTCTAGTCAACGTCTTAGTTCAAAGTCCAGCTTCTCCTGAGTTAACAGGGGCACCAGTGTGTTTCTTCAGCGGTACAATCACACAGGGTTCTCACAGTACCAATCGGGCTTCATTAAGCTGTGGGACATCAAAGAAAAATGATGTGAAAAGTTTTGCTTTGAAATCTAGTGGTTGGTTGCCTGGGGTTTTCTAGTCACTGAGGTGGGAATGTTTACACTTGGTGGGGTTTTAACTGTGGAATACTTTTTACTCTGAGCACTACAGTGGCAAAGCAGGAGGAAGGGGTCACAGCAGTGGTTGGACCCCACTCCAAGGGACAAAGGGGCTCTATCTAGATCTCACTATATATATATATATATTTCTATGTATTTTCTCTCTCTCTCTCTCGCTCTCTCTCTCTATCTCTACCTTTCTAACTGTTCTTTATATTGTCTTTAAGTGGAAGTCATCCCATGAACAGCCTGGACAGTTTCAGAAACCACTCACAGCTTTTCAAATCATAGAAAAAAAAAGAAAAAAAACACTTTTAATCTTATCTAGCTTCACTTGTTATCCCAAAGTTAATTTTACTGTTGTTCATGAAAAAATTTTTTTTTTTTTTTTCAAAAATTGATTTTCTAATTTTTACTGACATTGGATACGTTTGTTCATATAACAATATGACCATGTTACAACTTCTATATCTAAACCCACTGTTATACAAACATAGTTTTCATGATGTAGTTAGTACTGATAATATCCAGGCTTCTGTTTGTTTTTTACTCCAGTCGTATTTGACTGTTTTTTTTTAACTCCATCTCTGAGTGGATGAATGTGTTTGTGAGACTCAGTGAGTTTATGTTGCATCTGTTTTATGTTTACTAATGTTATTTGTTCTCATTTTACTTGATAGGACTACGTCTATGAACTTTGCCTTAAATATCAAGTGAAGTCTGTTTGTGTACCTTGCTCTCTACAGTAGCTAGCTACAAAAAACGTTCTAGTTTCTACTCGTGCTTCAAGGTTAGTTTGTACGCAATCCAGAACTGTGTTCGTACAGCTTTTGCGAAGAGAACTAATTAGACTGATATTTGTTTTATTGGCTTTTCTATGATGTACTATTCACATCTAACACCTGCTAGCAGGCCAGCGAGCTAGCTTTGAATGTGTTCCTTTAAACAAAACAAGAAAAAAACACAAAAAAACTACAAAGCGACTGACTGTTTTCTTGTGGTAATTGGTTGTTGTGTAATCTAACACTACGTGGGTGCTTGCTGAGTTATTACGTATTTCATGTTGTACACTGGAGAGCCTTTAGCATCGGTAGCAATCGTTACGCAGTTGCTCTGATAAGTAGGAGAGGCTCCTTTTAAAGTGTCCCCCAGTAATGTTAGCCGACAATTACTCTTTACGTGGTGTTCAGCTTATTCATTGCTTAAAGTAAATGAAGTCCAGTCAACTTTTTTAACTTCCTTTTACTACAGTAGAGTGTGCAATGTTATGCTTAGTCAAAGCTAATGTAAGCCTAGCGTAAATTTCTTTTTCTACACTATTTATGTTGTTATGGAAAAAACACTTTGAAATTGTCTGTAAATTACTCTCATAACTTTAATATGTCTTATATTACAGGTGGGAAATATACCAACACTTTACAGTAAGTGTTTTTTTTTCAGATTTAAATATAAATTTATATATATATGTATATATATATATATACATAGGTATATATACAAATATATATATTGAATTGAGCCGAATAAGTACATTTATAATTCTCTGTTGTTTTTTTTTTTTTTACATCTTGCCTCTTGTTTCTTAACAATTACGTGTGCGCCTTTATATTGAAATAGCTTCATTAATATTGGACACCCTACACTGGCAGACACTGCTTTCACTGTGAAGACAACATTTGTGTTGACTTTAAGATGTTCTTTTTTGGTGCAGCTGTGCGGCTCTTTGTGCTTAACTGTTGCTGTTTGAACTGAAACGCTGCAGTGTTTTGTACTGTATTACTGTTGTTAAGACTGATGTTCGTAGCTAAGCTGTGTACAGAGGACTTGGGGCGAAGTCCCCCAGTCGCACATTGTAAAGTGAGCCTCAGTTGTTAGCTCTGTACAGAACATTTTGTTTGATCATTTAAAAGTACAGAAAATGGCTCTGATCTTCACTGACGTCCAAATTCTTTCTCTTTGTTCTTGGTGTATGAAACAAAGGACACTTTCTGAACAACTGTAATGGAACATATTTATCTCCGTGCTCTCAAATGCAGGGAGATCATTTTTTATCCGTTTACATTTTACAGACCACATGAATGTCAGAGTATAACAAAAAATCTGTTGAAATCCAAAACTAGAAACAAACACACTTCATGGATGTTTTGATGATGACTATTATTGCTATGAAAAAAATGAATGTTTTTTTAATCATAATTATTCATATTTGATTTGTTGCTGTGCAGGATATTGTGTGGTATATAATCATAATCCCTGTGGAGTGCTCGTTGCGTTTTTTCTTGAGTCGTAAAGTGAACAGCTCATAAGGGTGAAACATTTTTACACAATTTTTCTCAAGCCAGAATCTCAAAAGTCGGGTTGTTTTTTTAGCTGTGGTGAGTGGATTGAGATTCTAAAGGTGAGAACTGTTCGTGTCACATGACTTCGACTGTAGCCTCATTACATTGCTGTACTAGTGTGTGCTCTGCAGATGGCAGACTGACGTGACCATGCTAAGCCACTTATAGTCAAAGAATAGAAATATGTTTTGAGCTTGACTTTTAAATTGTATATTTTTCTCTGCCTATAAAATGAAAAAATAAACAATGGATGCAAATGCAAAACCTTTTTTGTCATTATTGTACTGAGGTTCAGGATTTTGCGTTTAGGAATTCAGAGAAAAATGAACAACGGTATAATGGGTTCAGGATTTTGCGTTTAGGAATTCAC